ATATCATTACAATGAGCATTCAATCTCCTTCACCAATTATTTCAACATCTTCTTATCGGAGAAAAGATTTTATTAACTTATCCTCATATATTTTTATGGAAACACCGGTTCTGTTGGTTTTTACTTCATATCTCTAGAGCACACGTTCATATATTTTATTATTTTCATTATCAACTTTTAACTCAGCCCATGTGTGATCCTCCTTATCGTCATTCAAACCATCAAATGTGTATTTGCTTCTGATATTCTTAATATTCTTACGTTGGGCATACTTGCCCATCATGGCCATCTTCCTCAAGGTTATTGTGTTTTTCACCCCCCTATCAGCTTCTCATTATCAGCAATTTTCAGTTTCAAATCATTTGGTAATCATTTGACTTGACACTTCTTCCAAATAGCTCTGGGGTTTCATTTTTCAAGTTTTACTTTCTTATTTGTTTTTTTCTTCCAATCTATAGTCCTTATTCACATGTCTCCGCATCTGATCTCTTCAATCTCAAAAGAAAAATTTTTATTTTGAATTTCTATTCGTTAAAATTATTAGTCAGTATGAGATTCTGAATCTTTTCATTACATTCCCTGGAGGAAAATTAAAACGAATTTTTTGATTTTCAAAACGGATTAACATTGTGTGATTCAGAATCACCATCTGATTAGGAATATCTATTTCAAATTGAGAAATGCATCGTTGTTTGAGGTTGTAGGTGAAGCAGATGCCATGAGACATCTGTATAAGCTACTTGATTATTATTATTATTTTTCTTTGTAAAACAAGTGTTGTGATGTTTACAGTAATATAACGCTAGATTCTTAAAATTCTTTTCTGTTCATTGTCATCTCCATGTTCAACTGGTATTCTTAGTAACTTAAAAAGAAATTATTAAAAAAAAAGTAAAAAAAGATTTATAAAAGTTAAAAGATTTGTATTGAACAAGACACAAAACGAAATTTCTCAGATGGTTGGCTATCCTTTACATATCTATTTAACAACTACAAGGAAAGAATAAGAAGAAGAAGAAGAAAGAAAAAAAAAAATTAATTGTAACACAACTTCATTCAATCACCGGTCATTATATGCTTTGAATCTATCGTGTACCCGTACACCCTAGCAGGAGTCTATGAGATCATCTATTCTGGAGCGTTTTGTATTTGATATATGTATGTGTGGGTGTGTGTAAGCTATGAAAGTCCCTTTTTTGGCTATGAAAATATCTAGTTATCTTCTGTTTGTTTGATATAGTAAGATATCGAACAAACGAATTTCGTCTGGCTTTAAATGATGAAATGATATCATGTCTGACGCAAATGCCGCATATCCCTATATGTACACAGTTCAAACGAGTCAAATTCAAATCAACAATACCTTTTCTTCTGGAAACCAAGTGTATTTTGGATTATTTTTAGAACCATAAAACACTTCTGTAGGATGATAAGTATTAAAACGATTCTGGTTTTTGTTATTTCGAGTATCATGAGGATAAATGCCAAGTGATGAAAGACATCTGGAATAATATTCAGAAAGTTGAGAAAGATTTGAAGCAGATAAGCTTTACCTTCCAATTCCTACATCTTCATAAATATCATCAGGACATAAGCTTTCATTGTGATACAGAAACTCATTGTACTGCCTAAGAGCTTCTCGTGACAGAACATAACCAGCACCACCAGCATTATAACCGTTCTTCTGTAAGTATCTCATCAAACATCATAGCTCAGTAACCATGAATTACCAAGTATGGTCGTAAGATGTATCCCAAGTAATAAGGTTTGTTCGGATCCAAGGAACTCAAATACTCTTTTAAATGCTCAATAATCACATACGTATCATCATCAGCCTGAATAGAAAACAGAATATGACTTGATGTGATCATAACTGCCTCACCTTCATGTACCAATCGAAGTCTTTGGATATGTACTTCCAAATATAATGAAAAGCATATCGGCTTTTATAAAATAAATTATAATAAGACTCAGGGATTCCTGAATTAGTTCACGTCAATTACAGTATTCCTCATATCTAATCCTACCTGCGAAAACTGTCGAATATGGAATATCTGGTTCACTAAAAAAATCACTCGTGAAGAACTGGCCATGATCACATCGCTTGAGCCAAGTTTCGTTAACAGCTTGTGCCTACAATACGTTAATAAGCCTATTCGAACGCTGTCACTTTTCATTTCAAAACAGAGATATGCCGTGAGCGGTTGAACTTTGCTGTCCTCTAGCACCCTCTAGCTCGCTCTATCCTCTCTATATCTTATTTCCTCTTTTTTTTTGTTCTTTCAATGATCTCAGCCGCCCGTGACCATATCTCTCATTCCTTTTTCATATTTCATTTTCCAAAAAAAAAATTGTTTCATGTTTTTAACGAAAAATTGTTTTTTCTTTTGCAACTGGGAAATGTCAGAACATTATGAGTCAGGACAGGCAAAGTTCGATGCAAACTAGTAAAAAGCAAATTGGATACGAACCCTTGTTGAATGATACATTTTGGCTGTTTGTACCCAGCAGAACAGTTGTCCTCTTCGTGGTAAAGCTTCTGCTTTGGGCGAAACATAAACATATTGCAATAATTGTGGGTCTGATTTCCTTAAATGGAAATAGATTATTTGAAATGAATTCAGATTACGGTAATACCTATTGTAATCAATTATTTGACGATTTTCTATTAATATTTTCATGAAAATTCCAATTATGGTTATTGTAATGAGTAGGCATATGTAATCATTTCTTGATAAACGTCTAGGTTTCTGCAAAGAACATGTGTTCGATAGGATGAGACTCAACATCTAAGCTCACTTTTGTTATGAAATCATCGTAACTTCCAGTCTCATCCAACTTAGCTGTTAATAAGCTACCCATTCCTTCAATGATGATGATCTGAAATATATATTATTGATTGGCTTCATTCAGTTTAGTAAAGCATCCAGAGACGCCTTGAAGAGAGAAGAAACATATTGAAGGACAAAGACTTCAAAACGAATTAAGTGAACTTTAATAAATCAATAATAGAATATGAGGAGAGACACATCTGCACTCGAACATCAGAAGTTTATATGATTAATAACAATAAGAGAGAGAATTAATGACGACATTTGTGATCATTCGAGTGCATTCTACCGAACAACATATTCTCTCTTTATAACCTTTATAATTAGCATAATTATACCTTTTATCAGAGGAATACATGTCCTATCTACATACGCATGTATGATGTATGTGTGCAGCAGAAGTTTTCGTCCTTTTCTTGCAACTCAAAACACAAAAGCTCATTTTGTATTTATAATATATAGATTTCAGATGTATAAAGTAAAAAAAATATATATTTTACTAGCATTTAACATCAGAAATTTATAGTTGATATAGTATTCACAAGGCATATTCATCAGAATCTTATTGAGCGACGTCATGTAATGGAATCATAAGTGAATTCACTCTGCTTATTCGATGATATGTATAGTAGGAGAGGAAGAGTATATCCAAAAAAATAAAATTCCTTTTTTTTTTTATAAAATTAGCTTTCTCTCTTACATTGTTTTCTCCTCTTCCCTCAACTCTTCTTTCCCTCTCTCTCCTTCTTTCTACTTCTCTGCTTCGTATCGCTCTCATCACATCAGTTCGCTGTTTCTCTTACTCTCTCCCACTCATCTTCTCCTCGTTTTCTTATGTCTCATTCGCTTTTAGCTTAAACAGCTTCAGCTCAGAAGTGAGTAGAGAGTAGAAACCAAATAGAAAGAAAGAAAAATTGAGTTAATCTGTTTTTATTTTAAAATTATTTCGAGGAAAAAACGCGTAAAGGCAAAGTGAGCAGTAATTACGAGAGGAATGAAATGAAAGAAAATTAAAGAAAGGCGAAATGTGAAGAAAAGTTAAGAAAGAATGAGCATTCATGCAATCGACAACAAACTGAGAATGAGAATGTTTGAGCTCATTGCCTTTTACTGACATGTTATTGAAAAGTTAAGAAGATTGATTATTCTCCTTCATTTTTATTCAAAAAAAGATATCATTTAAATCCAATGAAGCACAGACACATACACATGCACACACACACATCATGACATCAAGTTATGAGTTTATTTTAACAAAGAATGTCATGAAGACAATCGTTGAACATGCAGTTTCACAACACAACATAACTCAACAAAAACTCAAAAAATTTTGATAATTTCTTCCTCTCAACCTTCCTCACTGTCTTTCTCTTCCTCTCATTGTCACTCTCTCTGAGCAATCTAGGTTGCTTGGTAACGCGTTTGCCATGGTAAAAACTTGCTGAACAAATCAGAAACCAATAACAGAATGAAGTAATTCAAATCTTACAAATATTTTAAAATGCGATATAAAAAAAAGAATTAAAAATGAAAATGAAAAAAAAAGGATTCAACATGCATATATGAGCTTATGACGTTCGAGCTCTACGTAATTGAGAATTGACGCAAATGCACGTAAGTGAGCAGGTTGAAAAATATTCTAAAAAAAATTCTTTTTTTAGTTCGTTATTTTCGAAACAAATCGATTGGTCAGTAAGTGAATTAAAAATGATTTTTCATCACATTTTCGAGGAATGTCATGATATCATGAGATGATTAACAGAATGCAATGGACCTTCGAAACTCAGAGAGTGTTCGAGAAACATATATATCTTCCAAGATTTCATAACTAAGAGATATTATACGAATCAGCTGTCTGCTAGCGTGAAGATTATCTCTTTTTCTCTCTGAGCTCTCTCAGCTATACACATGACTTCGTATAAAATAGAAAAATTTAAAATAAACAAATTCATTTAAAATAAATGAATCATTAGAACATGATAACGACACATCATTAGAGGAAATCAGAAGTGTAACGAAGGACAAGGCCGGACACGAAATGTCTGCAACCTACAATGCAACAACCCAGAAAAGGAGTGTGCAGAGTAAATAGAATGAATTCAAGTTTTTGATCGTTCATTTCGTAAATGAGTCAATCGCTTTCTTACAGAAGTATAAAGAGCCTCAATGATCAGCAGCAAAGAGCAAAGTGTGAATGAAGTTGATAGAAGTGCTAATGAATGACAAACGTCTGCATAGCAAATGATGAAGCTATGCAATAAGATAGTTATAGAGAGCTGTCTTAATGAAGAAAAAGCTAAGAAAAGAAGATGAAGATGTCTAATTCAAATTAGAAGTGGATCTTTCAATGAAAAACATTTTCATTCACAGAAGAATTGTTTATATTTCTCCTTATAAGGCAATATACATCATAACTATATGAAGCTTCTCATCAAGGACAAGTTATAAAATGAAAATTAAGGTAAATTAATTTGAAAAAAACAATTTTTAAAAAAGAATTCGAAAAAATAAACACATTTTGGCCATATTCTCTCCGTATATTGATCGGCCTAATGTCCAGTAGTAGTCATCTATATATGGGAAGAAAGGAGAATAGAGAGAGAAAGAGAAAGAGAGAGAGACTGGTGGCATTCACTCCGATTTTCTCCCTCTCTTTCTCTTCTTTTATATCGTTACCTCTCTCTCTCGCATTTTCGCAATCTCTCGTAAGCTTGCTTGCATTTGGTGGTGACTGCTCATTTCGTTGAACTCTTCTCGCTTACTAAATATGGTCAGAGGTCAATTTGTATCTCATTATAGATTATTGGTTGATTTGATTGGATATAAGACGAAAAATGAAATCAAATTTATAAAACATAATTAAAATTAACTAGATCAAAGTAAAATTAAAATGGCACAATGAGGATTGAGAAATCCATACAATTCATTTTTCTTTAAATGATAATTAAATAAGAAGAGCAGAGACACCATTTGAATCTATTCAGCCTTCTCATCATCTACAACCTCGCTTCCCTCTCTCTCTCTTTCCCTCTCTCTCTCTTTCTCTCTCTCTCTCTCTCTTACTTTCTATCGTTTAACCAGATTTTTACTCAATTGAAGGACAAATCTTTAAACATACATATAATATATAACGATAAATTCATATTTCACATATAGTTTTACACAAATACTAACTAGCAATGAGCTTTTAAGCGTTTTCATACAAAGGATTTATTTAGGCACGTGTAAAAACAAATGAAACTTCATTGATTGTAGAGAAAGAGAGAGAGAGAGAGAGAGAAAGAGTCGGCAAGTCTTGTGTGAATTGTCATCTAATGGAGATTTTGAATGAGAAAAGAACAAAAATGAAAATTTTTCTTTTTATTTCTCTTAAAATATTTGCAAACTCAGATATGAACGGAAACCTTGGCATTCATCGCAAACAGGTTCCTCAAATTCACAATGAAAGATGTTCGGATTAAAGAAGTAAATTATGGGAAAGTGAAAATGATTTTTCTCTTTTATGGCCACACCAACTACTGGTTTCAATGAACTCTTTATTGGGTTTATGCGGAACATTCATAATAATTTACGTAAAAGTCCTCAATTGTGATTGAGAAAGTTTAAACAACGAATGAGGAGCCTAAACGTTTTGAAAAATAACTGTTTGAGTAGTGTCATATGCTATTGCTACTATATGCATATACATATAATAATGATTTTAACATTTCCGACTCTTTTTAACCAAGTTTTATTCAAATTTTAAGAGTTCTGTCCCCAGAATGCTTAACTTTCCTTACTCTTGACCAGGGATATTCCCTACTACAGCAATAGTGATCTAGTTCGAAAGGCGGAGGAAAACGCGTAAGGACTAAAAAACTAAACTGATCACAGTAGTACAATAGTTCGTAAAGTATCTTCTGAGCAGTCGTTTTTCATGCTTTTTTCAGAGTTTTTTTCTCATCTTGACATAGACCTAGTCCGGATATAACTTCTGTTCCATAAAATTGAAAAATAGATTATGCATGGATGTTTTCTATTTATTTTTCGATGGTGTTCCCTGCAAACTTCTTCATGTTTGAAGGAGCCTTCAGATTTCCCATGATTATAGTGGCTTCCCGATTGATGAACTCATGTTTATTTTGATAAAATAGTCAAATCACAGAAATATCTTCATTGCGTTGGGAGAGGAATGTCTACAACATGACGCTCGAGGTTAACATTTTCAGACGTCTTTCATAAATGGATTAATGCTGTATTGTATTTTCATTTTTCAGAGTTCACATCCTTGTGAGCGGTTGCTATTTTCACTTTCATTGAAGAAATGTTTTCCGCAATGAGCGGCCGTGCTTCTTACTTCCGTTTCTGATAATTAGCTGAATGTACAATGCTGATCAAGTCTCCTATATATTTTATAATTTATTTAAATAATTTTTTACACGAAACGAAATGATTTTTTCATTCCCAAGAACGACTTGCTATCGTATCTTCCATGAGGGCGACTGCCTTTTCTTTCAAAATTTCCTTAGCCTGTAAGATTGAAAAATTATAAGCTTATTCGAGCTTTCACATACATTCCCAGCTAACTCGGGCCTAGCTTGCTTCAAATATTCATACAACGGATTCACACCAGGTACAACAAATACAGCTCCAAGTGGTACGATAAGATCATAAGATTCTTCTAGCTGAAAGGGACAGCACTACACAGTTCGTAACTTCATTGACCTACCTGTTTGAGTGTGTAAGGTAACTCTCCGTCAACTTCTTCACGGAGATAGTCATAGAAAATGCTTAACAGCTCCTTGTGATGGTTTCTTCGATCGGCTCCACTCAAGCAGGCGGAGAAACAACGAATCAGATCCACCACAGGCGAATTGAAGCTTGCTGTCTTCAAAAACTACTTTTCTCAATAT